TAGGTCCAAATATAGCTGTAACAAATTATCAGGTCCCTGTGCTAGCCTCGCCCGTCAATACACCGATTATAGTATGAGTGTATTGACAGACGAGGATAGTACCTGACGCGGTTCATGTACCTAACCTCGGTGCTAAAATGTAGAGATGTCCTAAAAACAGTAACTAAATGTGCATGATTATGATTAATAGTTAAAGTATATTGCATGATATATTATGTATTTGAGATATATTAATGTATATGTTAAGTTAAAAGATATGTGAGATTATCATATCCATGCTAATTGTATGTTAAATAATGTTGTCTTTTTTTCAGAATTTACCATCATTGTAAATACCATCATTATGCTTTTTGAGAGGCAGTCATTCTGTGGACAACCAACTGATTATCCATCATTTCCAACTTGCGGATCCAGTAACCGAAGTGAAATCAAGGCGCTGGTTCTATCCGAACTACCGACAGAATCACCCCAGGGAACGGACGGGACTCGCCACCTGTCGAATCGTCTAACAACGTGTGAGCGACCTGGGTACCTGACCCCTGGGATGGCTGGCGAAGCGCATCGGGATGGTCTTTACAATGTTACAGATAACTTTGGACACAAGCCCCCGGCACACCCTAAGTTTTCCCTGTATGCTGACCGGATACAGACGTTTGCAAACTGGCTTACAGACTTGCACCAGAAACCCAATGATTTGGCCGTAGCCGGGTTCTTCTACCCAGGTAAATATGTCCATTAACATCCTATTATTTCAGAAATCACCAACAAAATATGGTAATCGGTAGCCATGCAAATTAAGAAAGACGCATAAATAAAAACAAGAGGAAACAGAGATTGATACTTGAAGTCTTCATGAGGGAAGGTTACCGAGGAGGATCCGCGACTCTGCAGATCTAGATGCATGGCTCGCATGACAGATCTAGAGATGATGAAGGATTTAAAGGCCACGGAGGGGGATCCTAATCTCGCATTAATCCCTCCCCTGTGTCTTCTTTATCGTTCTCTACACACTGGAATGCATGGAACAATTATTAATGCATTATTTTTTTGCAAACCAGGGACGGCAGATATCGTGACGTGTTATTCCTGTGGTGGAAGTCTTAAGGAGTGGGAACCGAGCGACAACCCTATGGTAGAACATGCCCACTGGTTCCCAAGTTGTGACTTCCTTCTCCGAACAAAGGGAGAAAAATTTATCATGCAAGCTCAGCTACAAAGTCAGGTATCATCTGTGAGTACAAGATCACATAAATTCCAATCATATGCGATAAAGTTTCAGGCCACAAATGTACAAAAAGCCCAAATGCACCTTTGCAAAAGTACAAATTACATTTTTTTTTATCATGGTCAGTACTTTATTTATTTTTTGGTATTAAGTCATTTCTCAAGGTTTAATATCGTCGTTTTCTCTCTTTTTGCTTTATATAATTTCTACGGGGAAGGGTTTGATCAAAACAGTTCCTATCATAAGTAACGCAATTTTCACTGGTTTTGCTAGAATATAGATAATTACATAAGTGATATATACGTAGCTGTTTAAAATTGCAACCGTTTAAGGTTAGGAGGATATGCCTCATTAGTGAATTGATAATTAAATTTAGGTGTGTATTCAAAATCTATTAACTATTATGATAATACCTATTTTAAGTTAACCAATAAATTATATAAAACAGATGTACTTCACTTGTCACGTTTACACTTGAAAGAATGCCAAACCTTGTATATATAATTGGTACGAATTACATGTACTACTATATATACATAGCATGATCAAACATGGACCACGTGATCATGAACAATTGTGACTTTTGATTAGTTTGGTCACAACAGAAGAATGGAGTGAGATCAGTATTTTTCACAAGTGCGAGGTTATCAATTGGGCACGGCTTTGATCGAAGTCCGCAGATAATGGGGGATTTATCTGGAAAAATACACCGTTACGTGTCTCTAAATATAGCAGGGATTTTCTGTTTAAACAGGTCGCGTACTTGGCAAGTGTACTATTTATAAGGGTCAAAGACCTTACTATAAATATACATAATGATATTAATGTATTAATTTAAAACCCAGGATACCTAGAAACACTCATGACTACTTAAAAAACAGGAAATAAGTACATATCATGAACTGATTTATAAATATATATATATGCATGTCAGCTTACGTATACAAATGTTGGCTATCATGTAGATATTTACGTAGGCCAATATGAGACATAAAACCATGCTTTTCAGTTCTTGAATTAGTTCAATGCCTTTAAAACGGGTTTATTTGAATTCAATCTAAATATCGTATGGGGATCCATAATGAAATGGATTTAAAAATGCGTCTATTTTCAGACATCATACAATAATATGTGACTATCAATTCAACTTAAAAGAATATTTTCGTGTTCAAGCAATTTATCATACACAGCGGAGTATTCATAACTATTTTCATCTAATATGACACGAAGTTGAATGCTCGTGTGTCCGCCTGTCATTGTTTACTAGTGTTAATTTCCTGTAAAATTCCAATATAAACATCTAGGAAGTAGGGTCATTATCACAAGAATTACCGAGCGTGACAAATAGGATTTGTTCACAATATGTCCGTGATGAGTAACAAATTATATTTGGCAGATTATCCGGTGACAATCCGGCGTCCTGAGAAAAGCATTATCGTGTACAAAATTACATTATTCACAATAGTATGCTTCAAAAGGAATAACCAAATGTAATTTTCAGTAAATAAGGTAAAATTTCGGTTTTAATTTTTCAAATTTTTTAAGTAGATACAATCAATAATATCAGTTTTTTTCTCATATTAATGACTTATTTGTATTAAGGAAATTTTAAGAAAATTGAAAAGTTCAACACATCTACTATTTTTCCTGTTGTGAAAATTATTCTATTTTATTAAAATTGATTATTCTATTAAAACTGGAAACTTAAGAAAATATTCAGATAATTTTTCCTATCATGCCAACCTTTGCTAGAACTAAAAACAAATCAAAAGTGTTTTTAGCAAAATATATACGACACAGAGATTAAATTAGCGAAAAATAGCCTATGTTTCTCGGTTGAAATTAAATATATGTTATGGATTATTTCCATAATATAATTTGAACGGAAATGTGATTTTTTAAATAAAATCGAACGTTGGTTGATGATTATTCCTAAAGCAGCACGAGCCTTAGTTTGTTTATCTATAAGACTTCTTACTTTAACATGATAATAACAATATAACAAATATTACGCCTTTGTTTACATTTTACATAATATAATAATATATATAATAATGAAATATTTTATTTAAGTGTCACACATATTTTACATAACACATCAC